GGGCGCCGGGGGAGGGCCTCCCTGACCAGCTGGCGGCGCAGTCTGCATGTAGAGCCTCGGGCAACGGGGCAGGAGGTGCCGCGGCGGGCGCCGCAGCAGCTGCTTGCGGGGCACCCATAAGTTCCTCGGCGGGGGGCCCAGCCGCAGCGGCCTGATCAGGCGCCGTTGGCGGAGCGGCCGCGGGCGGCTGGTCAAGGGCAGCGGCGGCCAGGGCCTGCCGAGCCGCCGCGCCTCGGCCAGCGGCAGCCAGAGCGACCGCGCGGCGGCGCTCCTGCAAGGGGACGCCCGCGTCGATGTGCATACCCCGCTCGGGGTCGATGCCCACTTCTCTCAGCCTCAAGTCCAGGGAATCCACGTCAGGGGCGTGCCCCCAGTGAGGTTCCGTCCCGGGTCATCTTACAGTCAACTAGTATCATCAGGGCGCTCGATAAGGATGCAAGGGCCGTGGAAGGCCATGTCGACACTCTGCGAGCGGGTCGCGGCCAGCGAGAGCGGCCAAGGATGGGCCGAAGGGGGAGGATGCACGGGTGACCTTGGGAATGTTGCTCATCCTTACTATGCGGGTTGACTATACACAATTACGACTCCAGGGACGTCGGTGCACGCTGAAGTGTCCACAGCTGTAGCCCTGTTTGCCAACGCAGGCCTGGAGCCTCGGCCACGCTTGCAGGACAGGGGCGTAGGGCAGCCGCGGAGATGCAGCTGCTCTGAGCACCCCGCGCCGCACGACACAACACGAGCACGCACTGCGGGGGGGGGAGAGGAGGCGAGGGCAGGGCAGGAGAAGAGAGGAGCAACGGCGCGCAAATGCCGAGCGTCATGGGGCAGAACTGTGCTGACCGAAGCGCCCCGTGGCGAACTGGGCGGTCGCCGCCAGGCGGGCCATGGCGGCGCGGCTGCCCCCAAAAAAAACCCGCAGAGAAGCGTGAAGTGGCGCGCTGATCACTCCGCCAACGGATGGTGCGTTGCATCTTTTCCGAACTGCGCGTGCCACCGAGAACGCGCAAAGCCCCAGACACGGGCAGAGCGGGGAAAGACGGCTGCTCCACCACTCCGGGCAAGGCCCAGCACAGGGGCAGTGCAAGAAGGACCAATATCGAATCTAAGTCTGACCATGAGCGTGCCAGAACGAAGCCGAACTCGGGTACAGTCCGCAGGCCCCCTTGTGGGGCCACCAGGCTGTAGGCCGAAGGTTCGCAGTTTCCTGTACCAGTTGCAACTTCCAGTTTCCACTGTTAAAGTTCTGCTTCTTGCTGATTACTGCTCCTTGTTACAATTCTGCTTCTTGCTGCTTACTGTTCCTTGTTGATGGACCGCGCGAGGGGGGGAGGCCCAAAACGGGCATGTTTACCACGCCCTGAGCGTGTTGTCTGAATTGCTGGGGTTTGTAAAAATTGACACCCCTCACTCAGATCGGCGGGGTCAGGGTCCAAAGACACAAGGGATTTGCCACATGTCTAAAATCCGGTGGCACCCCTCACGCAGATCGGCGGGGTCAGGGTCCAAAAACACACGGGATTTGCCACATTTCTGAAATTCGGTGGCACCCCTCACGCAGATCGGCGGGGTCAGGGTCCAAAAACACAAAGGAGTTACCACATTTCTGACATTCGGTGGCACCCCTCACGCAGATCGGCGGGGTCAGGGTCCAAAAACACAATGGATTTGCCACATGTCTGAAATTCCGTGGCACCCCTCACGCAGATCGGAGGGGTCAGGGTCCAAAAACACAAGGGATTCGCCACAGTTCTGAAATTCGGTGGCACCACTCACCAATCGGCAGGGTCAGGGTCCAAAAACACACGGGATTTGCCACATTTCTAAAATTCGGTGGCACCCCTCACGCAGATCGGCGGGGTCAGGGTCCAAAAATACTTGGGCTGTGCTACATTTCTGAAATTCGGCAGCACCCCTCACGCAATCCGTAGGGTCAGGGTCCAAAAACACAGGGGATGTGCCACATTTCTGAAATCCGGTGGCATCCGTGACGCAGATCCGTAGTCAGGGTCGAAAAACAAACAGGTCCCGACACTGCTTCACGGCGGCGCCCAGACCTCATGATTTAGCTTTTGCATCTCCCATTATCCGAGACAGGGGGCCCGCGGCATGGGGCGAAGCCCTTACGGATAATATACTGATCACCACCATCCCATGGGAGGCCCTGCCCAGGGGGCAGTGCCACGCTGATCGTTACCATCGGCTAAAAGTCGCGGATAAGCCAGTACACCCAAAATTGTACAGGGCGGGCTTCGGGGAAGCGGCCCCGCCCAGGGACAATAAGAGTGATCACCACAACTCCAGAACAAGGCCCAGCACACGGGCAGTAGCATAAACATCACCATCACGCCACAGCTGGGTCCGCAAACTGAGCATCACGGATCCAGAACAAAGCCCTGCATAGGAGCAGTAAAACTGATCATCTCCATTCCAAAACGAGGCCCTGCTCAGGAGCGATCAAAAAAGACACCAATCCAGAACAAGGCCCTACTCAGAGGCAATTGAAACAATCACGACCAGTCCAAAACGAGTAAAGAGACCCTGCTCAGAGGGCAGTAGCATAGAAAGGTAAGCATCACGCCACAGCTAGATCCGCAAACTGAGCACCACCAATCCTCCTCCGCCTCCTCTTTCTCCTGCTCATGCTGCTTCTGCTCCTCGTCGTCCTACTGCTCATCCTGCTCCTTCTGCTCCTCCTCATCCAGATCATCTTGTTCGGAATCGTCGTCCTCCTCCTACTCCTCATCATTATGGCATTCATCCTGGACACGCTCCACCTGTTGCTCGACCTCGTCCTCATCAGCGTCACTATCATATTGTTCATCGTCATCTCGTTTCCTGCCCCTGCTGTCGGTTATCACTGTCATGGTCCTGCTTATGTTCCCGCTAATCATCACGGTCAACATCGTCATCATCAGGCTCATCATCATCCTGATCATCATCATCATCAGCATCATTCATCATCGTCGTCACCACCACCAGAACCTCATCCTCCTCCTCCTCCTCCTCCTCCTTGTCGTCGTCGCCACCGTCGTCGTAATCGTCATCGCCACCGCCATCGTCGTCGCCGTCGTCATCGTCGTCGTCGATGTCAGAATCATCATCATGATGATCATCATCAGCAGCAGCATCATCAGCAGCAGCAATCGCATCAGAATCCTCGTCCTCATCAGCATCAGCATCCTCATCATGGTCAACAGCATCATCATCAGACAGAGCAGCATCAGAAGGAGCAGCAACACTGTCGTCATCCTCATCATCGTAATCAGCATCATCATCATCACCATCAGCGGCATCATCATCCTCGTCGCCCACGTCAACCGCAGCATCATCATCAGCAGCAGCATTAGCATCACAACCATAAGCATCACCCTTACCATTTAGCATCGTCATCATCCTGTCAATCAGCATCAGCATCAGCATCATCAGCATCATTATCGTCGCCAGCGTCGCCATCATCACAATCATCAACACCCACACCATCACCATCAGCATCATCATCATCATCATCATCATCATCATCATCATCATCATCAGCATCAGCATCAGCATCATCATCGTCAGCAGCGTCAGCATCGTCATCGTCAGCATCGTCATCATTTGCATGGTCATCTTCGTTTTCAGCTTCATCATCATGAGTGTCGTCATCATCGGCAGCATCGTCGTCATCCTCGTCACCTCCATATGTAACACCATCATCATCATCATCATCATCATCATCAACATCATCATCATCATTATCATTAACCCCCCCTTCCTCCTCCCCCGTTTCAACCGCCTTCTCCTCCTGCTCATCCTGCTCCTGCTGCTCCTCACCTGATCATCTTCCTCGGAATCCTGCCTCTCCTCCCACTCCCCATTATCCGCGTAATCCTCCTGAACATGCTTTACCTGTTCTTCGACCTCGTCCTCATCCGCGTCATCATCCTGCTCCTGCTGTTGGTTACCAGTATCATGTTCCAGTGTGTGGTCCTCCTCCTCCTCCTCCTCCTCCTCCTCCTCGTCCTCCCCCTTTTCTTGCGCCTGTTCCCCCTGATCATGTGTATCCTGCTCATGCTCGTGCTCCTCCTGACCATCCTGATCATCAAGTTCCTCCTCCTCACCAGCATCACTAACCACCACCACCACCACCAGCAGCAGCAGCAGCGGCAGCAGCATCCCACCCAGCCTACAGATCACCATTCATCCCTATGTACATGCCTACCGCCGTTAAGCGGGGAGGGTGGGAGGACAGCATCGGGAATGCGGAGGAGGATGCGCCACATGTCGAAGATGTGGTAACCCAGTGTGACAGACCCTTGGGAAAAAAAACAAAATAAGAAAAGATCGTAACCAAAAGGCCGAGGGGTCATTGCGGAGACAGGGAGGAGCAGCAGGAGCGGGACCATGGTAAATCAAGCACACCACCAATGATGCAACAAGCCCTTGCCGAACAGGTCCCCCCACCAAGAAGTGAATGCTACAGCGCTACATCGCATTGCCACTACACGGCGAACGTGCGCTAGAAAGGTGAGGGCCCGATGGGCCTGCGTGGTGGGAGCTCTATGTGGCCTGAACTGCGGGCCATCGGTCGCAGTCACGTCCGGGCTCGTCGGTATCTATAGAACTCCCTTCCTGTACGTAGCTGGCAGAAGCTATAGACAAACGTGCGGCGCGGGAACGACAGAAAACAGTCTGGAAAAGAGATCGCCCTCCAACGCTGATGCGAATGCCGAGGTCCAAAATGTCAACATGCATGAGAAACTTCAGGCGAAATTGTGTGAGAGCGAGAGGCCCTTTCAAAATGGACCACTCTCGGCCTGCGCAGCGGCTAACATGCCCAGTGAAGAGCCCACGTGTAGAAACAAATCTGCCATTCATCCGCGCTCGCTGCACAGGCGTTCAACCGGAATGTGCGGCGGCGCTAGGGAGAGCAGCATAGATTGAAAACGGTACGTGGTCCCATCCGAGTCACCGGCACGGCCTCAAGCAAGAGGGGCGCGAAGATGAGACGGACAGGCGGCCTGCACCTCCTCCTCCTCTTTCGGCGACTCCGTGGTGGTGCTCTCCTGCACGGGCCAGGGGTTGCTACAAAAGTGCCCCTGGCCCAATGTGCCCCCAACCTTCCGCTCCACTTTGGAGCCCCTGGGGCCTCCTGGGCCTCGCGAGGGATGCTCTGGAAGCCGTGAGGGCCTCCTTGGACATCCTGGGGGCACCTTGGGCAAGGGGCACTTCTAGCAACACCCGAACGGGGGGGGGCGGGGACGAGGACGGGAGAGACCTTGTACGTTGGGCGGCCTTGGGCGTGTTGGCTGTAGCGTCCGTGTGACAGAAAAGGAGGGGCACAGAGACAGGCCTGACCTGGCAGAAAAAAACGCCATTCTCGAGCTAAACATTGTTGTTCGTTTTCTGTTTGTTGTCAGTTTGCTTCGTTATGTCTTCGTTATGCCTTTGATGCGAAACGCAATCAAAACGAAAACGGCCCACGACATCGCCATAACATCGTCTAGCTCGAATCCTGATATAAAAGAGAAGATGGACACACGAGTGGCAATGAGAAAAAAAGAACAGAACATGCAGACCCAGACCCTCGACGTCGTGATTTTTCACGACGTCGACCCCCAGGGGTCTGAACCCCTTCCCCGGGACCCGCTTCTCATCCTGAGTCGTTGTTTTTTCCACGGTATGGAGGACCGGTGAGGACCCCCGGAGGCCGAAAACTGCGAAACTACTACGCATTCACAACGCACTGGGGATACGGGGAGTCTGCTGCATGGCCAGGGAAGGCAAGGACTCCCCCCATACTCCCACCACCGCTACCACGGGAGAGACCTATTCGTGCGTTTCCTGCGCAGCCCGCCTTTCGACCGCGCCCACAATCAGGCTCCGTTTCCCCCTCCCCGTCCGCTGTCTCATCGTCCGATTCCTTCCCTTTGCCCCAAGATAGCCCTCTTCACTGTCTCACCCCTTATCATCGTAATCGCCGCCTGGGTCCCCATCCTCATATCCCGCCCATCATCATTAGTCAGCATCATCATCATCATCATCATTATCATCATCGTCATCATCATCATTGTCATCATCATCACCATCATCACCAGCATGGTCATCATCATCACGGTCATCACCATCATCACCGTCATCACCACAACCATCATCATCACCATCACCGGCGCTCGCTTCCTAAACCACCCCATGTGTGAAGCTTGAGAAGAAAAGCTGGCCAATGAGCGGCCAGGGGCGTCAGTGCGCAGCGGCGCTGGTTCTGCCGCGCGGCCTCGCAGAGCCCCAAAGACAGGAAGTTCTCAACATGTTCAGAAGTTGTTCGCACGGGTGGGGGGAGAGGGCGGGCGAGAAAGCTGCAGATCACTTCAATATACTATCATAGCCGCTGTGCTAAAATGATATCGGACGTTTTTTTCAAAGCACCACATGCGTGAAGTTCGCAAGGGAAACAAAGGGCGCCAGGGCGCAGCGGCGCTGGTTCCGCCGCGCGGCCTCACAAAACCCCATAGACACAGCTCTCGACCTGTTCCAATCTTGCCGTCTCTGCCACGTGTCTTCACCGCGTCTTTCCCCCCGGGTGCGGTGGCGACACAATCACCCAAAACCCCATACAGTTGGAGCGAGGTGGGCAAGCGGTTGGACACGCTGTCGGCTGTCAGACGACACGAGGGCGAAGGATAGGGCGGCCGCGCTCACCTGAAGATTGTGACGCACGGATTTGGCATTCTCCCACCGCCTGCGGTATTGTAGCAGCCCCAGGTCCTGGAAACGATCGGAAGTGATGGATGGCCTCGCCTCCTCGCAGCGACCCGGGGGCGTGGGGCAAGTTGACGAGGCCGACGAAGCCCGAAGTAGCTGAAACTCTGGGGCGGCCCGCGCAGCTGTCTCGGGCGCAACACCGCCGTCGGCGAGAGGGGCCCAAATACGTGGCCTCTTATGTTCAGCCGCGCAGGATCGTCGATCAGGATGCTCTGGAACTTTGGCTCTCGGTCCGATGTCTCGGCGGAAAGCAGCGCAAGCACGCCTGAATTGACGTCGCCTCCCAGGCCCCCCGGCAAGACGAGGCGCCGCCCGAGGGCATTCGCGACTTCGCCGGGTCGCAGCAGAAAATGGAAGGCGAGGAGCAGACACGCCGATGCCCAGCCTTTTCCTTGCGCCCGGGCAGCGACGGCCAGGGCCAGGAGCACCTAGACAGGCATGGGCGCAAGCATCTCGACTGGCTCGAAGTTGCGCCAGCGAGCCACTGCGGCCCGGGCTGGGCGCAGTCGACCGCAGGTTTGGGGCCAGCGGTACTGGGCGCCAACAAGGGTCTCAGATCCCCAAGAACATGGCGCCTTCGCGTCGTAAACGTACTGCTTGTAGGCAACGAGGGTGGCGTTTAGCAGCTCGATGTCGCACATAACGTCGTCGGGCCAGGGCAGCCCTTGACTCTGGAGCCACAGGCTCCACTTGTCGAGAATGATGATATACCGACGGGCAGCGGCCGGCTCGACTGTCTCTCGGAGGCCCCGCCCAGCCAGCTAGGCCGCGCGCCGTGAGGCTGCACTCAGGCGCGCGGGCGGGCCTCCCCCTGGAAATCCGAGCCAGCCCCAGAAGCTCCCCAGGAGTATCAGATGCGCGGTGAGCGGAAGCACGTGTCGAGCTGCTCGGACACCGCATCGCACCACTCGCTGGAGCACCCTGCCGCAACCTCCGTCAAACGCCGCCAGACGCCGTCCTCGCACTTGATGCCGCCCTCCAGGACGAGGCGCTGGCGGCGGCGGTCGCACCGCCTTGCCAGCAAGGACAGGAACGCCCACCGCCCCACCCAGGTGGTCGTCTCGCGCCAACGCCTGCCCCACACCCGCCAGTCCATGACGCACTCGTAGAGCAGCCCCGCGCTGAGGGCCTCGTGGATCTCCGGAAGCGCCCACCGAAGGGAGCCCACGCCCACAAGGCGCCCACGCGGTCGAGAGCCTCCACGAGATCCTGCCTGGCCCCCACGCACTCGTTGCCCAGGATCTCCTCGGGGCGTCGCCGCGACCCCCACGGCCGCCGGCGAGTCCGACAGGACCACGAGCACAAGTTCATAAATCGTGAGAAGGTCACGCAAGGGGGCCCCAGGACGACCAAGCGGCCCGACCCCCATGATGAGCTCGACCCCCTGGGCGAGCTCATCGGGATCAGTGAGGCCCCAGAGGGGCCCGCGCGGAACGCCGCGGCCGATGACGATCCAGCCGCGGCGCTCCAGGGCTGCGCCGATGGAGGCCGTCGGCCCGCTGAAGGCGTCGCAGAAGAAGAAGATAGTCGGCGGCCGCAAACCGAGCTGCGCACGCCCACGGCAAAACTCTGGGGCTTCTCGCCGGCAGCAATCGATTCAACCATCATCAGCATCATCAGCACCATCAGCATCATCATCATCAGCAGTATCAGCATCAGCATCATCATCATCCTCATCATCATCCTCATCATCACCATCATCATCATCATCATCACCATCATCATCATCATCATCATCAACATCATCATCATCATCATCATCATCATCATCATCATCAGCATCATCATCATCACCATCACCATCACCATCGCCATCACCATCAGCAGCAGCAGCATCGTCGTCGTCACCCCACCTGTCGTCAACACCAGCGCCCTCGCCCTCGCCCTCGCCCTCTCCGCAACGCCTCTCGCCCCCCTCAAACTTGGGGGGGGCGGGGGGAGCCGCCGCGGGCCTCCTCCCCCTCCTTCACGGTGGTAAGGGGCCCCAGGCTGACCTCTCGGCGGCGGGGGGCGCACCCGGCCGGCCGCCCCCCGGGGAGGGGGGCAGGAGCAGAAAGAGGAGCAGCAGGAGGAGGAGGAAGAGGAGGAGGAGGAGGAGGAGGAGGAGGAGGAGAAGGTGGGCGATGGAGGAGCAGAGCGGCTAGTAGGAAGAGAAGGAGAAGGTCGGATGAGAAGGAGGAGGGGGGAAGGGGGGAGGAGGAGGAGGAGGGAGGAGGAGGAGGAGGAGAGGAGGAGGAGGGAGGAGAGGAAGGAGGGGAGGAGGAGGAGGAGGGAAGGAGGAGGGAGGAGGGGGAGGGAGGAGGAGGAGAAGAGGAGGGGGGGGAGGGGGAAGGAGGAGGACGTGAAAGAAGAGTAGGAGGGGGAGGGGGAGGGATGAATAGAAGGAGGGCAAGGAGGAAGAAGAAAGGAGGAGAGAGACGAGGGAGATGGGGACCAGGAGGAGGAGGAGCTTTGAGCTTCGGCCATCTTCTCGCGAGTCGCGGAGGAAGCGGCGGCGAGAGCAGCGGCACAGTGTGGGAGTACCCGCCTCCTTGTGCCCTGTGGAGTCGAAACTGTACAATCGGCTCGGGGTGGAAATGCGGATGAGGGCAGGGCAGAGGAGGAGGAGGAGAAGGAGGGGGAACAGGAGGAGGAGGAGGAGGAGGAGGATTTTTTGGGGTCGACCCATGATCAGCCACATGACTCCGCTGGCGTGGCGAGTGCCAGCGAGTTTTAGCACCAAAAACGGCGCAGGCCGCGCCACGGTCGGGGCCATGCCCCCGTGGCGCGACCTAAGCGCGACCAGGGAGCGCAGGGAGACCGTGCTCCGCGCTCCCTGGTCGGGGTAGGGGGCGCGAGCCGTGCTCAGCGCCAACCCTACCCACCACCCACTCCATGGGTGGCCGCGTTTTACGGCCCCGGGACCACGACACGACGCGACACGACAGGGGGACGAAACGAACGACGCGACACGAACGACACGAGACGGACGAGCGACACGACGGAGACGAGCCGCCAGCCCCGCCCCAGGGCGGCGAGTGCTGGGGGGGACCCAGCACCGCCCTGGGGAAGCACACGGGGCCTGGCGACCCCCCCGGGGGAAGGAAACCGCACTTTGGCGGCGTCCCCCGGGGTGCGGGGGATTTTCGCCCCTCGGGCCCGGCGCTCCCCGCCTGCGCCAGGAGGACCCTGGGGTCCCGACCCCTCCCCTACGGGAGGGGCCCCCTCGGGGCAGGAGGAGGAGGAGGAGGTGGGGGGTGGAGGAGGAGGAGGAGGAAGAGGAGGAGGAGGAGGAGGAGGAAGGAGAAGGAGCTCTGTTGCTCGGAGCGGGGCGCGCCCGGCTCTGCGGCGCCCGTCGGCCACGGCAAGGGGGGGGAAGGCTGACATCCCTGCTGCTGCTGCCTGCTCCTGGCTGCTGCTCCTGGCTGCTGCTGCTGCTGACATCCCTGCTGCTGCTGCTGGCGGCAGTGCGAAAATGTGCAGCGTCGGAGAGTGCGCGACATCCGTCCATGCACCCACGCGAAAACAAGAGACGAGACGAGACGAGACGAGACGAGACGAGACGAGACGAGACGAGACGAGACGAGACGAGACGAGAAGAGAGAAGAGAGAAGAGAGAAGAGAGAAGAGAGAAGAGAGAAGAGAGAAGAGAGAAGAGAGAATAGAGAAGAGAGAAGAGAAGAGAAGAGAAGAGAAGAGAAGAGAAGAGAAGAGAAGAGAAGAGAAAGAAGAGAAGAGAAGAGAAGAGAAAAGAAGAGAAGAGAAGAGAAAGAGAAAGAGAAGAGAAGAGAGAGAAGAAGAGAAGAGAAGAGAAGAGAAGAGAAGAGAAGAGAAGAGAAGAGAAGAGAAGAGAAGAGAAGAGAAGAGAAGAGAAGAGAAGAGAAGAGAAGAGAAGAGAAGAGAAGAGAAGAGAAGCGAAGAGAAGAGAAGAGAAAAGAGAAAAGAGAAAAGAGGAAAGATAAAAGAGAAAAGAGAAAAGAGAAAAGAGAAAAGAGAAAAGAGAAGAGAGAAGATAAGAGAAGATAAGAGAAGAGAAGAGAAGAGAAGAGAAGAGAAGAGAAGAGAAGATCAGAGAAGAGAAGAGAAGAGAAGAGAAGAGAAGAGAAGAGAAGAGAAGAGAAGAGAAGAGAGAAGAGAAGAGAAATGAGAAGAGAGAAGAGAGAAGAGAGGAGAAGAGAAGAGAAGAGAAGAGAAGAGAAGAGAAGAGAAGAGAAGAGAAGAGAAGAGAAAAGAGAAAATATAAGAGAAACGAGAAGAGAAAAGAGAAGAGAAAAGAGAAGAGAAAAGAGAAGAGAAAAGAGAAGAGAAAAGAGAAGAGAAAAGATAAGAGAAAAGAGAAGAGAAAAGAGAAGAGAAGAGAATGTATCAGAAAAGAGAATAGAAGAGAAGATATAAAAGAAAAGGATAGAAGGGATAAGAAAAGAGAAGAGACTGGAAGAGAAGAGAAGGGAATATGATACAATACATGAGAATGTCATTTGAGAGAAGATAAGAAAAGAGACGAGGATAGACGAGAAGATATAAGGACAGGCGAAGAAAAAAAAGACGATATGATAAGAGAAGAGGAGAGAAAACAGAAGATACGAGAGGAGACGATAAGAGCATATATAATAGGAGAAAAGCGAAGGGACGATAAGAGAAGATAAGAACAAAGAAGAGAAGAGAAGAGGAGAGATAAAATCACTGAAGATACGATAATAGAAGACAAGAGATAAGGGAAGAGAAGAGGAGATAAGAGAAAAGAAGAGAAGAGACGAGACGAGACGAGAAGAGAAGAGAAGAGAAGAGAAGAGACGAAACGAAACGAGAAGCGAAGAGAAGAAAAGAACAGAAAAGAGAAGATAAGAAAATACAAGAGACGAGACTAGACGAGAAGAGAAGAGAGTATAAGAAAGGAAAAGATACTAGAAGAAACGAGAAGAAGAGAGAAGAGAAGATATGAGAAGGGAAGAGACGAGAAGGGAAGAGAAGAGAAGATCAGAGAACGGAACGAAAGGGAAGAGGAGGGAAGGGAAGGGAAGAGAAGAGAAAAGAAGAGGAGAGAAGAGAAGAGGATAGGAGAGAAGTGAAAAAGAAGGAACGAAAAGAAAAGCGAAGAGATGAGAAGAGAAGGGAAGAGAAAAGACGAGACGAGACGAGATGAGAGGAAAAAAAAGGAAAGTAAAGCGCATAAATGAAATGAGGATGGGGAGGAGGAGGAGGAGGTGAGGAGGAGGAGGTGAAGGAGGGTGAGGAGGAGGAGGAGGAGGAGGGTGAGGAGGAGAAGGGGAGAAGACCAGTGTAAACCAAAGACCCATCAACAATGTTGCAGTAAACACACCCTCCAAGTTCCCTCTTCATAGGCTCCCAGAAGGATGGATTTCCACTGCGAGAAGAGCCCCCTTGGAAGACAACCATCTGAAAAATTTCAAAAGTGCCAAAGCGCCATTCCTGGGACTTCAACGCAGGGAATCAACGGCACTGTTGCGACCTTGCAATCCTAAATCGTGCCAGAGCGCCATTTCTGGAACGTGAGCACCGCAAAGCAACGTGACTATCGCAACCTGCGAATCCTAAACCTTGCCACAGGAAATTACTGGGAAGTAAATCATAAGACTTCTTGAAACTATTGAAAACGTTTGCAACAAATGTGCGCGGCGCAAATCCGGGAGTCACATGTTGAAAAAGAACCGCCCTCAATCCGTGAAGCTCTGGCAATATCTTTACGTAAACGAATGTGCGCGGCGCTAGGGCGAGAGCCACATTTGAAAGGAACCGACCTCCATCCGTGAAACTCTTGCCGTTTGTTTTCAAGATTGTGCGCGGCGCTAAGGCAAGAGCCACAGGTTGAAAACGGCCCGCCCTCCATCCGGGAAACTGTTGCCAAGATCGAGCTTCAGGATCAGAATTGGTGAGGGATTCTCAGGCCAAACGCCCGGCCCGCCCTACCGACCCGTCTCGGGGTGCGACTGGGATGGAGGAGGAGGAGGAGGAGGAGGAGGGGAGGAGGAGGAGGAGGAGGAGGAGGAGGAGGAGGAGGAGGAGGAGGGGGGGAGAAGGAGGAGCAGGAGGAGGATGGGGGAGGAGGAGGGCTTCGGGCTTTCGTGAACCACCACCGCCACTCTTTCTGTTTGTTTTTCTTTCCCCATTGCCTCTTGCCTCACACAGCTGGGGCTAGCACCTTCAACGCACGGCACGTCGCGAGGGCAGAGCGGCTCTCAGAACTCACGTGGTGCAGGCTGCGGAGTCATCCTCGATGCCTACCTCTCGAGGAGGAGAAATAAAGAAGATGTTTAAGAAAGAAGAGAAGAAGGATGATCCGAGGAAGAAGAGGGAGAGTAGGAGCACAGCGTGGACCTGGAGGAGAAGATCATACAAGAGAAGAGAAGAGAAGAGAAGAGAAGAGAAGAGAAGAGAAGGAAACATAAGAGAGCACAAGATAAATGAAGAGAAAATAAGCTAACCAAAGAGAACGGAAGAAAAGCGAAGGGAAGGTAAGAAACAAAACGTGAATGCAAGAGAAGGGAAGAGACGAGAGGAGAAGATAAGAGCAGAGAAGAGAAGACAAGACAAGAGAAGAGGAAGTAGCAGAGGAATAGGAAGAGGAAGAGAAGGAGGAGGAGGAGAAGGAAGGAAGAGAGAAGGAGAAAAGAGGAGATTGAGAAGAAGGAGGGAGGAGGAGGGATAAGAAGAGGTGCGGGGAGGGAGGAGGAAGGGGCAACCCTCCCACGGGTTCCCGCGCCTCCGCTGTGCCCTCTCCCCTCCACCCGCCCTCCCTCCCCCCCCCTCCCTCCCCCCCTCCCTCCTCCTCCCCTCCTCCTTCCTCCTCCTCCTTCCTCTTTCCTCCTCCACTTCCTCCTCATCCTCCTCCTCCTCCTCCTCCTCTCCTTCCTCCTCCTCCTCCTCGTCATCCTCCTCGTGCTCCTCCTCCTCCTCCTCTTCCTCCTCCTCCTCCACCTCCTCTTCTCCCCCTCCCCCTCCTCCTCTCTCCTCCTCCTCCCCTCCTCCTCCTCCGCCTCCTCCTCCTCCTCCTCCTCCTCCTCCTCCTCCTCCTCCTCCTCCTCCTCCTCCTCCTCCTCCTCCTCCTCCTCCTCATCATCATCATCATCATCATCATCATCATCATCATCATCATCATCATCATCATCATCATCATCATCATCATCATGATCTGCTCAGTTTTTCCTAGCGGCGAATCATCTGTGTTGGCAAGCTCGCGGTTGGCGTGGCCACGAGAGCACTGCAGCACAATCACAGAAGCTCGACTCACGAAAACCGCAATGAGTGAGCTCGAGAACTGGCTGCACACTCGCCCCCGTAGCATTCCCGGAGCAGAATGTTCACATGCCCAGCGCCTGTGCTCGAAGCGGGGCAGTAAGCGTATAGCTAATGGCCTCCGCCAGGCGCTGCGCAAATTTTGCAGATCTAGGTCTGAACAGCGTAGCAGGCCAGAGTTCTGGTGGGGGCAAAATGCTCCAGAACCCGAGCAATAGTCGGACAAGCGGTTGTGGTCGGCACAAGAGATGCCGGATGATAGTAAATATGTCGGAGCTCTATAACGACTTCCATAGGCGCACCAGTGCACTGTGCTGACATGCTCATGAGGGACCTCACGAAGAATCACTGATGCGCGATGTGTGAGTGCCGTGCAAATGAAAGGAGCACTATGGGCGGCGGCCGCTCGCATCAAAGCTATCAGGGTCGCTGGATCGTGATCGCCACCGCACAGAGCGAGAGACAACGCCAGAATCTGGCCTGTACGGATATCGCTCAGAAGATAACGAAGCTTGCAAATTGAATCTGCGCCACCAACCCAAGCGCGGCGACAGGAGAAGCACGTGCGCTGCAGACACGCTTGAAATAACTTCCCATTGTCTCCGAAATGCAACGCCCAGCTGGCCGGCCTCCAGAGCCTCAGCGTCCGCGCCAGGGGACGGCTCGGCCATGCAACAGGACAGCCGTGAGCTCGGCATGGCACCTTTGGAAGCGGGCCTGCTGTTCCGCAGTCAGCCGGTGCCATTGTTTCCCGAGCCGCCCGTGTTTCTCGTACCTCACGACCTTCTTCTGGTTTTTCCAGCCCCCCCTTTTCTGCACCTCGAACTGCGGCCTGGTCTCCAGGGCCCGGTCGTGCGAGGCGCCCGAATATCTGGCCTGGTAGGGGACCAGAGTCAGGCCCAGCCTGCCACATACCTTCTTGAAAGCCTTGGCGTAGGTAGGGTAGTCGAAAGTCCAAGACGGCACCCCCGCTCCACGCTTCGCCAAAGCATCCAGCAAAGGTGCTAGCGGCTTCCAGTAAGAATGATCCAGGGCCACGCTCTCGTCGAACTCGCCTACTTTGTTCGGCACCTCGTACTCCCGCGAAGCCAGGAGCAGGCAATCGCGCGGACAGCTCGAGCACGGCGCCACCACGTCTTCCGACCTGAGCCGGGCCAGGGGCCCGGGTCGACTGTACGAGCTCACCATACACAATGTGAACAGCCCCATCCCGTGGAGATCCAGGGACACGAACCCATTGATGATCCCGCACCATACCTCGAACGGCTCGGGGAGACGGCTCCTTGCCGGGGCATCGGCGCACCACCCCTTGATTCTCCTCCAAGATCGGGGGAGGCCGCGGCCCGCCTTCCCCAGTTCGGGGCGGCAATGCAGCACGGCCGCGACCACCTTCATGCCCTTGGACGGGTGGTGCCCCTGGCGCCAGAGGTCCTCCAGGTACTTCACGAGCTCCCGGTCGAGGACCTCGACGCCCACCTCGGCGACCTTCGAAACGCGCATCGACCTGGCGAGGGCGTCTAGCTCCTGCACGTACGTGGCGGCCGTCCTGGCCTTCACGGCCTTGCGTTCCAACGCAGTGAGGTGCCCCAACTGCGAGCTGCCCTCCATGACTTCGGTCAGCCACCTGAGCAGCCGGCGCCGAGATCGGCGCTGCAGCGTTCGCTGTCGAGCGCCTGGCTCGCCCGCGAGCTCGGACGACGTCCCACTGCTGCTGTCGGCGCCCTCGGGGTCGCCTTGGCCGCCCCGCGCCGGGCGCGGCAGGAGATCCGCCAGCTGCTTGCCCTCCCCCGCGCTCGTGTCCAGCTGGCCAGGGGCGCCCGTGGCCGGCTCCAGGAACTGCTCCAGCACCGCGCCCCTGGTGCCCGCCATGTGCCGCGCGCCAGCGCGCGCGCCAGGCGGCGCCGCCGCGCCCGCTACTGGCGCCCCCGCGCTTCGCGGCAGCACCCGCTGGCGCTTCGCAACTGCCCCATGAACGAGGGGCCGCCGCTCCAGCGGGGCGGTCGGGGCCAGCGCGCGCGCCCGCCTGCCCCCCTGGGGCGGCGGCCCCGAGCGAGGTGAGGTCTTTGGAGGCATGCCCAGAGTTTTGAGCCAGACAGTCTACTGGGACGGCGCAATGACCAGGCCATGAGCGCGGCCTCGCACCCCCATTCTGCCAATCAGCGTGCCCTACATGCAGGGGCAAAACTAAGTGGGGGCGGGGGTCAGCATCGCCATCGTCACTTCCTCCGTCCTCCTCAAAAACACTCGGCTGCAGAATTCCTGATCGCTCAGAGGAGATGCAAACCTCCCCCGGCGACGATTTGACAGAAGGCCCGCGGGCCCGCGGCTCACCGGGGTCGAAGAGCCTCGACGGGTAGTCCGCGGGGTTCAGCTCCGAGGGGATCCAGCGCACGGTCACGCGGATGTTCCGAACGAGGCACACAGCGGCGAACCGCCGAACGACTGTCAGCAACTTGAGGTTCCTCGTGCAGAACCGTCCCATCACAAGAACGAGAGCGAGATTATCGGCGAACATAACCTGCCTCAGATTTCGGCCCGGGCTGGTCAGCCCAACCCTCTCAAGTCCAGACAACAGGGCGCGCTCAAGCACGAGAATGTTCTCCTCCCGGCGCCAGGGCCAAGCGGCCGCAACGTGCCACTCCTCCCCGTCAAGAATCCCTCTGGCCACCTCTCGAAACTCAGCGTCGGGCTCAAGGGGCCTCCGAGGGAGTCCCCCGAGCTCCACCCCCCGCCGAAAAGCCTCGCCATCGGCGAGGGGGCCGCCCAGGGCGGCGGAGCGAGCGCGGACATGCGCGGGGTCTCGGTAGCGATCGCGCTCAGGCTGCCGACCGATCTCCTCGATGGCCTCGACGCCGACCCTGCGCAAACAGATGCCGCCACCGTACTCGCTGGCGTCTGTTGCCACGGCCACTTCGTTCCACGGGCGTTCCCAGGACGCAACGAGGAACGGCATCAACCCCGCGAAAGCCCTGAGCTCCGCGCGCACCTCCTCCCACATCTCGCATGGGTCCCAATAGTGCTTATGTATGAAACCGTACACCGCGTGGAACACCGAGAGGAGCTCACGGCGCAGGAGACCGCAGAACGTAGCGTGCCCGACCAGGATCTCAAGCGCCTGCCCAGACATCCGCTTCCGCTGGGACGCAGCCAGGAGAGCTTCTCGCACCTTCCAGAAGCGACGTGCGGACAGGCGGGTGTGGCGCCTGGAACCGTCGAGGACGACTCCCAGCGCCTCCACGCTGCCGCACGAAACCTCCATCTGGTGCATCGCCAGGCCCCTGCTCTCGAAGGCCTCAACAAGGTCGCCAAGGGTCTTGGAGACAAGTCCCCCGTCCTGCCCAAGCACCCCGATGTTGTCGACGTAGACGCACTCCCGCAGCGCGGACCCCTGCCGGTCCACGCGGAGCACCATGGGCCGCCCTCGGTCAGTAAGTAACGCGGCGCGGTCCGCCACGTTGCAAACGACCTCGACGTCGGCCTCCTGACAGAAGCACAAGGACCAGGAAAACCCCATCGGGAGTGCGAGGGGGAGAGGCCAGAGGGCGCCCTCTGGCTCCACGGGCTTCCCGTCAACGAAGTGCACGCCCACCTCGGTCGCGGTGACGGGCGGGAACCCGAAGCACCGCCTCAGCCAGGCGGGCGTCCCCATCCTGTGGAAAGCGTCCTTGGCATCCGCTGTGCCACAGTAAATGGGTAGCCGCCCCCCCAGCTCGTCGCCCGCGATCTCTAGCTTGGCCAACCCCTCGGCAGTGAGGAGGTCGACGTGCGGCGGCTGATCGAAGCGCGCGTTCGCACGCCGGGCGTCCACGTTGAGGCGCGGACGGCCCGACTTCTTCTTCACAAAGAAAATGCCGACCGTCTCGTGGACCCAGGAGCCGTAGGTCAGCAGCCCGCGCCTCTCAAGGCCCTCGAGGAACTCCACGTACCGGCGTCGACTGCCGACGAGGCGGGGGTCCACATACAGCTTGTCACCGTCGGGCAGGGCGCCGAGCGCCCCTCGCCCGCTCTCGAGCCTCATCCGCTCTCCTTCCCCCTCCAAGCAAGATCTGCCTCTGGCCCCCGCGAGGTCCTCGATCGCCGTCAACTGCTTGACGGGGCCGGGGAGGGAGACCTGGCTAGCTCGGCACGGGGTGAGCGTGGCCCCAGCCGAGTCGGTCCTGTAGCCCGACACACGGCCACGCAGCAACTCCTGAAGAGCCGCTTGCGGACGGATGTACTCAGAACCAATCACAGTGGGCTGCTGGAGTCGCACCAGCCCTTCCACATAGCGCGCAGTCGCATGCTCTAGGGCACACGTAACTGCCTCATCTCCTCCCTCACCATCACCGCCATCATGATGGACCCCCCCCCCCCACCACACGATGATGACAAGCGCCACGATGATGATGACCAATATCGGCGACTCGATTGTGATGGTTATCCTGGCCGCTGCAATGGCGAGGATGATCTCCGCTCGATTGACTCTTGCACATCCAATTAACAGCAATCAGCGCCTCGCGGCACAGCTCGGCCTCTCGCCGACGCACGCGGCCTCGACCAGCGCGACGCCCCCCCGAAGCGGGCGAATGCTGCTCGCATGCAGGGAAGAGGCCCCAAGGGTCAAATGTTGGGAGCCTCCTCCGTCCACAGGACGGCGGCGCCGCCCCTGCTCCAATAAACGCGGGTCGCGGGTATGGAGCCCTCCCCGGCGACCCTCTGGCTCGGTCATCCCTCGTCTGCGGCTCGGCCCGCCGCCTGGGCATTCTTGTCCCCCTTCGCCTTGGCCTTGGTATTCGCCTTGCCCGTGGCCTCGGGGAGCTGCGGGTCGCCCTTCCCGCCGCCGCCCCAGGGGCGGCGGCTGCTGGCGATGTCCCTCTGGTCCTTCAGCTTCTTCATGCTGTATGGGCGCAGCCGGGGGTCCATCGCCTCCGTGGCGCCGATCTCACCCTCGAGGATGTTGGCCAACTCCCAATTGAGGGTCCCGCCCGTGCCTGATGCGTAGGCCTCAATGATGGTGTTGAGGCGCCTGCACAACCTTTCACCACCGGCCAGGGACGGCAAGTTGACCTGATCATACTGCCCAAAGAGGGAAACTCACTCGACCAAAGCTGACAGCGCGTGCCACACGCGGTCGGTCTTCTGGATGTCGTAATCCCGGGTGAAAACCTGGAACCAGCGCTTGGGGGTCCCAGACTCCCGCTTCATGTACTTCAGCAGACGCATCGCCCCCTGAGGTGGCCCCTCGAGTTCTGGGCAGTCGAGCGGCTCCTCGGTGATCTCACCGCAGAATGCGTGCCACGACTTGTGCCTCTTGCCCTGCTCGTCGTAATCAATCCACAGGGTCCTAGCGTCCTCGGCCGCCGGCGGGGGCGTAGCCGTGCCCCCTGCCGCCAGGGGCCCATTCGGCTCGGGGCCAGGCGCCAGCGCCGGCACGTGGTAGTGATCCCGGATCTCCTTGCAAACAGCGGCCACGTCAGCGGCCCTCACCAGCTGCGCGCGGGCCCAGATGCCCCCGCGCTGGACGAACGCGTCGGCCCCGCTCACGAAGTCCCCGTCGTGGATCTCGACCTCGGTGCCGAGCCTCAGCTTGCCGCCGGCCTCCTCGACGATCATCCAGAGCTGCCCTTTTGGGGCCGTGTGGTCTTCGGTCACCGGGGGCGGCGACCTTTCACGGCCCCCTGCGCCCCTCGCCTCGAGTGCGTTTGGGCGCCGAGCCTCCGGGGGCTCCTCGGGCACCACCTCGATGACGCCCAAGTGGTTCACGTACTCGCCCACGATCACCGGCTCCACGCCCGCCAATCTGCATTGCTCAACGTACTGGCGATTCCCGCGGCCCAGAGCCCTGAGCAGATCACCGTCATCTGGGTAGGCGTCCTTTTTGAAACGGTAGAGTCGCCGCCGAAGCACCCCTGGAGCCGCCCCACTTAAACCGAGGAGGACCACCTCGTCGGGCCCCTCATCAATGGTCAACCCGTAGTCCTCGGCGTACTCGTCCAAGTCTGGCGTACGGGCATGCCAACAGGCACCTGGGTGGCAACCCTCGAAGAAGACGGAGAACATCAGCACCCGCTCGTGATAAACGCGGCCCCCATACTTTACCGCAATGGCCTGGCCAGGCCTGAGCTCACTCAAGAACTCCTCCGCCTCGCATTCGGTCCCGTCCCGCCTGCGGAAGACCGCCCCCTCGAACGGGACGAGCGCCATGGCGACGGGCGAGCCACGCTACGACCGCGTGCCCGACGACCCCGCCAACCAATTGTGCGAGGCTGGCGATGCCGCTGTTGTCCTGCGGCCCGCGCGCGGCGAGCTCCTCGACCTTGTCCTTGACGGCCTCCACGGCCTCAGTGGGGCACGTAAGCGGTGCCGGAGCGGGACACGTCGATCCCGAAAGATTGAGCTGGTACTCCAACTCCCGAGCCAGCGCCTCCACTGCCAGCGTGCAACCGCCCTCACCGTTGTACCGGAGGCTCTCCCGCCAAGCAGCTATCGCGGCAGTGCCCAACACTACAAGAGCGTTCAGATACCGCTGAGGCATGGGCCAGAAGCGCAACTCTTGAGCACGAGTTGACTACGGAATGATTGGCATCAGCCCGCCCAGGCCCCGGGCCCCCGATCGGCGCCGACAGGGGCGGACAGGGCACCCGGAGACCCCCCAAAACAGTCCAAAATGGGACACCGACCCCCCCCCCCTCGATGTACCAAGGGGGCCCCGGTACACCGAGGGGGGGGGGGGTCGATGTCCCATTTTGGCTGGTTTCTGGGGTCGCGGGCCCCACCCCAACCCTGGCGGCCCCGGGGTTCCGGCGGTCCCGGGGATGAGCGGGAAGCGGGAAGCACAGAGGGTGACGGATGGTTGAAACCGATGCGACATCCCCCAAAACTCCCCCATATCATTCCAGTGCAACGCACGACCATTCCTTCCTTCTTCCCTTCCTTGCTTCCTTGCTTCCTTGCTTCCTTGCTTCCTT